CACACACACACACACACACACACAAACACACACACACTCACATACACACACAAACATGTCAGAAGCTTGCCGATGAGAGCGTAAAAACACCTACTTTTAAAAAAGAAACTGAGTAGGAAATAATCATTACGCGTTGACCCATTGACCACCTGGTCTTTAAGGGTGCTTCGGTTTTGGTTGTAGGGGAGGTCTGACAGGGAAAGGGTTCGTAATTTGCTACCCTAGAATTACAAAGCTCCTTCAGCTCAGTAGATCTACCTAGTTTTCAGTAATTTGACGTCAAAAATTTTGAATTTCACAAAATGTCATGGGGTTTGGTTAGGGTTCTTTTTATTCGTATGCAATTCTTTGAATATCTTGATGACGATTCCGTCCGAATAATCTAATGATTTTGATAGAGCAGATAGAACGTACATTTGGTTTCTGATGTCATAGCATGTCAAAGCCTTAGTAAATCAAAACGACCCAAAAATATCAGAAAGAACTTTGTAACTGTAACTCTTAAGGTAGCGAATTAACTATTTCGCCACTTTTATTCTTCCCTCTCAAGGTTTGGCCATGTTTTATTCACCATACCGGAGGGAGACCACAGCCTCTTCGCCGCCTTCGACAGCATTATGTCAGCATACAGGTGAGAATTCATACAACTGCACACAGGTGAGAATTCATACAACTGCACACAGGTAAGAATTCATACAACTGCACACAGGTGAGAATTCATACAGCTGCATACAGGTGAGAATTCATACAACTGCATACAGGGGAGAATTCATACAACTGCCCACAGGTGAGAATTCATACAACTGCATACAGGTGAGAATTCATACAGCTGCATACAGGTGAGAATTCATACAACTGCATACAGGTGAGAATTCATATAACTGCTTACAGGTGACAATTCATGATACAACTGCTTACAGGTGAGAATACATGATACAACTGCCCGGGGGCTCTCGTGATCTAGAGTTTAATAAGGCGTTCGCCTCTCTGTCAATAGGCCGCGGGTTCGAATCCGGATAGTGAAGGAAATTTCTCTTCTTTAAAATGTTCTTCTTTCACATCCTTTCCTGCCATCTAACAAGGTTGTCGTCTGCTTTCGTCTCCACTTTCTGCTCACGTCCTTTGCCCGCTCCTCTGGGCACCTGCTACTCCTTGGCTCCTTCCTACTGCTGTCTTTCAGCCACACCCCTGATCTTCTGGTAGGTAAGATCTACAACTAAGCCCTCTCGGATAAGGGCGAAAAATCTCGGAGGTCCCGTGTGCAAGTTGCGCACATTAAAGGTCCCTTGGAGGTCTAGAATCAATAAAAGTTGACTTCGGCCGCCACCCGGGCAAAATTCAAAATTTCCTACCAGCTGAAAATGGTAAATGTGTCCCGCGCGTTCATATGACCTAATGTAGTTGCCACCGCCGTATAACTCTTTCCAAAAGACGAAAAAAAAAAGAATAGAAAAATGCAACTGACCTGGATCCGAACGGCATCCCAAGACTGCGTGACTACACGGTTCCCACTTGTCACTATTTTAAGGTTACACCACCAGGGTGACTGGCGGGTGCTCTAGTGTGGTTTGATCTTTCTTCCCTATCAGACACCTTATCGCCTCGAAAGTATAATCTTGTCCAAAGCGCTCTCTGTGGTTAAGTACACTTTGAACAGATAGTTCTGAGGCAACCATATCTTCCTCATCTCTCTCTCTCTCTCTCTCT